ACCCCAAAAATTAAGTTATCAGGAGAGGAAAAACTGTATATAGGCTAGGCCAGTGGAAGGCAGCTGTAAGGATTTAAGAAATTTCTCAGTTTCAGAGTTAAACCTATCTTGCTTGTAGTCAATCCTTACTGCTTTGTTAGACTTGCTTACACATTTTGATAGATGAGAAAAGAGCAGTGTGTGTGTGTGTGTGTTAAAATAAATTATAGCTTTAAGTATTAATATTTCTATCTTTTTGTCTATTGGGAGCATATTAACTTTTCCTTTGAAATCCTGTAAAGTAAAATACTTCAAAATTTAATGCTGTTTGCCTGAGGAGAGAAAAGGAAGAAAAAGTAATAGTTTTGGATAATGAAAAGCAAAAGATGTATAATACATCCTTTTTCTTCTAAATTTATCTTTGACTCCGTGGCTTTAACTTTATTGAAGTAATTTTAAATTCTGTGGTAGTATTTAATTGGAAATGTGATTCCACTGAAGTAACTATTGGCCAGTGTATCTACAGAAATGAGATAAATATGGTCTAACTGTGAAGGTTTTGCTTGCATTGTTCTTACGCTGGAATGGTCATGGTTAATAGCGCTGTGGAACGCCACACGGTTTGCTTTCTGTCAAGGGAATAAGGGCAAACAGAGTTGAAACATATGAGGAACTGCATACTCAAGTGCTGGAGATGCAAGGAAAAGGGTATTTGTTTCATTTAGGCGAGAAGGGAAGAGAATGCAGGGCTATAATTATTTTTTTTGGTGGTTTTGCTTTCAAAATTAAAATGGTAACCATTCTCAAATTCTAAGCACAATAATTTTGCAGATGGCTTTATTGGTTGAAAATTTTATGCTTTCACCCCAGCACAATAATATTTGAAGAGGGTAAGCCACAGGTAATATCACGTAAATATTAAGTAAAGTAGTTGTTGAAAAAATTGATATTTCTACCAGGTCAGGACAAACTGGTAGCTGGTGATTCAAAATATTTTAACACCTTATATTTTGTAAGCTCACTGCAGAGACTAGTGTTAATATTTATGTGACATAAAACTAGATTTGCTGTTGCATTGGCTGTTGTGATTGTTTACCTTTTATTTGAGTGTAAAGAAGTGTTTGTTATTTATGCGTCATAGTCCTGCCAAGCAAACTGTTAACTGCAGTTTTAATTTCTCTGGTTTGTGGCATTTAACAAGAACAAAACTCAGATTTAGGATTGATTCCCTTAATCTTTAGTCTGACTTGTAATGGTGTATTTTTGTTGAGAATATATAACTTGGGAAAATAGCTTGTGCTCGTAGTTGCAAATAGGGCAAACTCATTCCTTGGTACCTAAGCTTTCTAGAGTCAAAGGTGTTACTTTTTCTGTCCTAGTATGGTAAATTAAGCAAGGCATAAGAGAAACTGTATGGAAGGGGAGAGGATGGAGCAGAAAAGTTACAGAGGCCAGGGGTCACATGGGTGAATGTCTAATATGGTTCAAAAAAAGGTTCTTTTTTCTTTCCTTTTAGCAACTAGATGAATGTCTTTGGATTCATGGCAGAAGTGAGACTTACAAGAATAAGATTTAACTGAGGGGATGCTTTTTTCCTTTTTAAATACGTGAAAAAACTGTTCTAAGGTCAGATCTTATCATCTTCAATAGTAAGATGCTGTATTTAACTGACAGACTGAGAAGCACTGGTCTTTTCTAACTGTTTACATTGAAGTGGAAACACCATTTTGTTCTGAGCTTTTTTGTCTTTATTAAGTCACCCAGCCTGTGTGAGGTTTGATTGTAGCAGAATGAATTAGGGTTTACATTTGGTTAAAAAACCTATGGTGCTGTAGGAAGGAGAGTGTTAATGATTCATTAAATGATATGTTTCTGGTTTAGTTAGAAAATAAGGACAACAGCATGATTTTTTTAGGTTCCATGGGGTTGTAAAATGTTTTGACTATGGTCTCAGCACTAGTGTTTTGTGATTGTATGATTAACAGGCACTGAAATAATAGTTTTATTTATTTTGAAGCCTGGAGAACCCTTCAGCCATGTATTGTATAGTCTTTTGGAAAATGACTACACTATAGAGAAAAGTAATCTTGTGATACACATTGGCTTTAATGCTGATATATTGGGTCTCAAAATGACCTTTACTAAAGGGACTTGGGAGTTTGGATTTGAGGTATGTTTACCCTGGGCAAGTAGAAGCAATTACAACAATTATAAGTAATAGTAACAGAAAATTGAATGTCACAATGTTAATTTTGACTCTGGATTCTGTCCCTTGTACTGAATAGTTCTTTGATATCAGTAGGTCATGAAAACTTTTTAAACCAAAATATCTGCATAGCGGTCACTCACTGTGGATAAGGAGTGATATGTCACTAATATTCAGTGGAGGAAGGGGTGTGACAGAAGGTTGTAAAGAAGAACTATGAGCATGTGGGAGAGGTAATAGATTGGTTTGGCCAGCTGCAACTGTGATGTGCCTGACCTCAGTGTGGCCACACATCACACCTGAGTGGTCGAAGAGGGTACCGTCCCCAGCTGTTGGCCCTGGTCCCACAGCAGGAATCACTGTGCTGGGATATGCAGCTGACCTGAACCCCAAATTGTAAAAGTTTACCACCTAGCATGTTAAACAAATAATGCCAATTTTGATTTACTGTCATACTTGAGCACTGCTGATGTTCTGGGAGCTGCTGTGAGTTCTCTTCACTTCATATTGCTGTAGAACTGAAAACACTGGGGCAAAAAAGAGTTTGTACCTGCTTGAACCTTCACATTGCACCTACTGTCACAGCTTTCCTGAGGTTCACCCGTTAATGTGGAGCTTGCAGAGCTGAATACAGTTTAGTGCCAATCTAGCTAATCTAAGCAGAGTCTTGGAGTCACCTCGTGATGTAAGGTTCTGTAATAGTTTTTCACTAATCAAATATGGAGGTATAATATAAAAATATGCAGTTATTTTGATCCTTCTTTTATTCCAAGCAGCCTTTTGTAGTATCTATGTAGTTGGAGTGCAGCTCTTAGTGAGCTGAGTTGTAGCTATGTGTACTCTGTTTCGTCAACTCTGTTAAAGCAGGAATGCAGAGAATGAAAAGCATGCAACTAGCAACTGCAATATGAAAAATGTGTTTAATGAGTTACTCAGCATCATATAAGAACATGGCAAAACCACAGATACTATTCTTTCCTTCAGAGTAGCATTGGGCTACCTAAGTCACAGGCCAAGCTTTTTCATTATACTACGTTCTGAGTTATTCATAACACACCTCTTTATCTATGAAGCAAAGGTCAGTCAAAGAATGTATTAAGGTGCTATTTCCTTCAACATATAACCTCAATAGTTGCCTGCTCTGTACGTGGAAATCGGTAGGGTTGTTATAAGGAGCTATACATGACTTTTTAATTGTAGTAAATACGAAGAAAGGGGTTGAGTTATGGTGGCATAGGAACTATCCAGTCTAGTGAACATCAACTTTTCTGAATTATCAGTCTAGTAATTATTTTCTCTTACTTAATATAGGGGCATTGCCTGTTGCAATTTTACGCAGTTTCCTCTAGGATTGGTGCCTGTTTCGTTCTTTAAAATGAAATAAGACTGATTTTATGTTGACTGTGTTGGATATTTTAACTGGCGGACCTCTACTCTTTCCTGCACCCCATACTTGTGCTCCTGACATTTGTGAAAGGAAGGTAGGAGTGCAGACAGGAGAAACCCACACTGTGCTCTACTGAGTTGCGTGATCAGTGAGTTCATGATTTGGAGCGATACTGTAGAGCATACCTACCCCAGAGTGGCCGTTGGCTTCTTGGTCATGAGCCCTCATCCTCTGCAAATGAATCTTTACAGCATCCTTGCTTCCAGCTAGAGCCAAGATAAGTTTACAGAATATTAGCGATTAAAACTGTCATGTTGGATGTCCTGAGATGGTGATATCACTGAGCCAGCGATGTGGCTTTGTAAGATTTGTTCAGCTAATGCTTTTCTCCAGTTCTACATTCATAGTTTTTGAAAAAATAAAAAGTGGTTTTACTTTCTCTGAACAGAATTGTTTATAAGGCTTACCACACTGGTTTTACTTTGCTGTGTAGATTTTCAACAAGTCGTAACACTTAGTAGGTATTGACTTCTTTCTTCTAATGCCTGCTACCTCACAAATCTGCTTTATGCAAAAGCTTGGAGTTATTCTTTCATAGCTTCATAAAGAGGAAAGAGTTATTGGGAGGTAGAAAAGTAATGCTAGATTTTTTTTTTCCTTGTGTTTTTTTAAGAGCTCACATGCAGATGACTGCCTTTTGACCTATATGAACTCTGAAGTATGTTTACTAGTGAAATACTACAACCCAAATTTCTTTGAACTACCACATCAGTAATTAATTGTATATCTTGTGACACTGGCAAGATGAGAACTCAGTGCCAAGCTGTGATGAAGTTTCATATTTTTAGTTAATTTTAGTCTCTCCATTTAAATGTGTAATACTGCATTTCTCTTGGCCAGAATTTGGATAGTTGGAATGGTTCCTATTGAACTGCATATTCTTCCTTCTAAGAGTTGTGGGTGGCGAGGAGAAGAGGGAGTAAGCACTACTAAGTTTTAAAAGCTCCAGTATTTTGAAAATCCTGATCTTGGTAGTTTGCATTTGACTTTAACTTAATATACAAAACACAGCAATCTAAATGTGGTACTTTTTTAAAACAAGATCACTTTTCTAACTCGGTGTTTTGAGGCAACCCTCAATAGTGTTGGAATTGCCATTTGAGATATGAAGTAATAATGTATTTCATGTTCCATTGCTTGCAGAGGAGGAAGAAGCTGTGCCTCAGGAATTTGGCTTCATACCCCAAAACATCTGATGCTTATCTTGCATGTGAATTTTTGTAAAAATTACATGGATATATACATGAAATATATTTAATGTAGCTATCAAATTTTATATTAAAAATGTGTATCATATGTACAATATTTTATTTATTTATAAGCACATACATAAAAGTGCAAACAATGTTTTCATTTATTGCTTTTCAGGGGATATAATTTTCAATGCTCACTATCCTGACCTGCCACCAGATTTTATCTTTGGAGAGGATGCTGAATTTTTGCCAGATCCTTCTGCCTTGCATGTAAGTACTTCACTGTTTGGGAACCTTGTACCATGCAAAGAGACTTGTTTTTTTCAGAATAGCTTCAGCAATAGGAATTTGCTAACAATGCAGAATAAAGAAAAAAACCAAACCCTTTTATCTCATTGTTATGTGAGTATAAACACTTTGTCTTCTACTGTGATTTAAAGTTGAATCCATAAATGTAGGGGGGTTTTAAAATATTTTAATCGAGACAAGATGACATTTACAATAACTATCAGAATATCTTTAAAAAGGTGTCTTTTTAATATCTGACCATCTCAAAAGATCTGTTTCAGCAAAAAGGATTGCTCAATTGTGTCTTTAAAAAGCATTTAGTTCCAGAAAAAGTAGCATAATGTTGTGTAGTGATGTTGATTTTGTTTTCCCATGAGGAAGGATAAAACCAGGTTGTATGTTGTTGAAACCACTGTGTCAAGGAAAGATACCTGTTCATATGTGGTAGTGTTACCATAAAGACAGAGAAGTGCCCTCTTAAAAGGTGGGAGGGTCAAAAATTAACTTAATGAAAAAATATTTTTACACGGTCTTATTACTATGGAAGAAGAAACACCACAACCTGAAAACAAGCGTTTTGTTCACTATTCAAAATTAGCCTCCAGTAGTAAAGCCTTGTTTGAAGAAGCTAACAATGGTTATGCTTTTAAAATACTTCTCCCTCTCAGAAGTTACTAGTAATTACTAAAGCCATATTAAGGTATTTTGAAACCCAGTGTTTTTCTCTCTTACTCTTCCCTTCTCTTTGGGTTTCATTCTGCTGCCTTTGCAGACCTGCAGCCTTGTTTCTGGGTCGACAGTATCATTTGTCAGTAGGGTTTGGGCATATTTTTTCCAATAAGTGTCCAGGGACTGTGGTTACGGTGCAGAGTTTAGAGTAATTACTAAAGCCATATTAAGGTATTTTGAAACCCAGTGTTTTTCTCTCTTACTCTTCCCTTCTCTTTGGGTTTCATTCTGCTGCCTTTGCAGACCTGCAGCCTTGTTTCTGGGTCGACAGTATCATTTGTCAGTAGGGTTTGGGCATATTTTTTCCAATAAGTGTCCAGGGACTGTGGTTACGGTGCAGAGTTTAGTGGCTGTGTCAGAAAAGTATGCCTTTGCCAGAGAGCTCTACTGTAATTCCTGGTCAGTCACCCACATAGTAGGTCATGATCTCACTTCTTTTTTTTTTTTTTTTTTTTTTTTCAAAATTTTCAGCTTTTATTAGAAAGGTGACCCAAAAAGCAATTGACACTTCAAATATACTTTATTTTATAGGCTACCTGTAAGGGTATCTGGGAATCAATGGCACAAACAGGCACCTGGGAAATGTCTTTTAATTGTACTTCTCCTGGCGTAGAGCCTTGCTAGAGGAGAGGCTCTTTGCATAGTCCTCTCCTGCAGCCTCTCTTGTGCTTTATCAGCACGTCTCCAGTGCTGCTGGGTGATTTCATCAGGTATGGGAGCTCCCCAAAGTAAGTCAGAGGCTGTCGTTCTGCACTGTTCTGTTCTGGGCTACAGGTGTCATAGGGGAAGAACGTGAGGCAGTGGCCACAGAATTGAACGTGTCCTTCACATGACGTGACAGATGTGTTGTTTTTTGTTTTTAGCTTTACTCTCTTCATACTGTTATATTGAGAAACTACACAGTCTTAAAAGAATTGGTTTTAATAATTATTTTTAGCATACCTAACAGGATTTTTAAGAGGTGAATGTCTTACTTCTTTGCTTCCACCTTTCCTGTTAAGCTCACAAACTCCTTTGGGAAGGAGGCATGGTGCTGCTGAATAGCTATTTTGTTAGGCTTGTTTATAGAAAAGGTTTTACTTTATATGACAATTCTAGAATTGTTTTCACACTATTTTATTTACCAGTTCTCCTATTTTCCTCTTCTGTTTTGTTGTTTCACAATCTTACAAGCTCCTTAGAAGTATTCACCCTAGCAACCACTTTCTGCAGTTGATGTTAAAGGAAGAGGAGCACTTTTTAATGTGCTGGAAAGCTGAAATTAATAACAAATAGCAAATGAGATATTAAATAAAGATAATTTGGGGCATCTTGCAGAAATGCTGTTCAGATGGAGTGTGATATGGTGCCATATTTCTCATGTGAAAAGAAGTCACTAGCACTAGTGATCTACAGGGAAACCTGCAAGGATAAAAACATCCTTAGTTTTCTTTCTTTCGTACATTGTTCATTAATGATACTTCTTTTGGGAGCGTTGCTTTTCTTCTGCCTAAGCACAGAACAAACTTCCCATTCTCTTCATTGGAAAGCAGCTTGAAGAGCCATTTGCTCCTTGATGCATAATGAGATATTAACCAGCCTATTTTAAAATTAAAAGCAAACTAAAAAAGAAATTTGCAAGCCAACAGCTTTCCTTTGGTCATTATGCCTTGCTATAGTGTTCACTATGTAAATGTAACCTTTTTTGATAAGGTCCTTGGTCATTCTCCTGCAGTCCATCCTGATGTTATCAGAGTGTGTTATCTCCACCTTGCAGCTATGGTCTATATGGTGTATTTTTGCTTTTGCATTCGCCTTTTAATGTTCAACATGGTTTGCAGAGTTTTTCTTCAGAATGTTACATTAACAATAACTTGCTTATTATGCTAAGTATTTGAATAACTCCCTTTTTTTCCACAGATCTCAGAGCTGTTTAATGAAGATAATTTTAATTGAATTCTAAGATATTAGCAGAATTTTTTAATGTGTTAATATATCTTTCTACTGACTGTAAGTAAAAATAGATTAGCACGTTGAGCATAATTTAACGCTCTTAATCTTGAGCAATCTTCAAATACTTTCAATACAACAGTTCCTGGCAATCAAACCAGAATCTACCATTCACAAAAGCACGTAGATGGTATTAAATGAGGAGTGCAGTCTCTAAGTAAGTAATATGTGCCGCCGGATCTATGGGAATTCTGACGTTGAGCCTTCCTGCGCTGCTGTCATCTGCCTGAGTGTCTTGTTTTCCAGGCAGAAGTCATCACGTGGTGTTACATGGCTTGAGTCAGCCGTTATGCTTAGCTTGAAGTGAGAACCGGGTACTCCAGATTCCTCAAGCTCATGTGGCTGTAATAGAGGCTGTCAGTAGACCTCCCTAAAGACATTTGAATGGCTGTGCTGCGGATCGCTTCAGTCACTCCTTCAGTTTCCATGGCTGTGGGCAGACCTTTGAGTTAAGTTTTCATGTGAGCACAGTAACAGGTGTTCAGTTAAGCAGCTGTTAGCCAGACAGCTAAAACAAGATTCCAGAAGTACTGCATTTTAAAAAGTAGATGCTGTAGGTGAAGACTTCATATTATCTTTTTTTTTTTTCCCCAAAGAATGCCTAAATGGTTGGGGCTGTGTTTCAGCACTGGGGTGATAATGTTGAGCACTCGTTGCTATAAGCAAAGCTAAACAACTGCTTTGTTAAATTGGTATTACAATTGCAGAATCGAGTCGAAAATGCTTATTGAAACTCAGCTTTGCTTCTGTGTCTTGCACAAATATTAAAATCACTGTGGTTTGAAACTCAGGTTGAGTCTCAAGTTCAGTACTGCAAAATATATGCTTCATTACACACCTTACCAGAAGTAGTTACTCTGCTGGTCGCAGGGTCTGAATGTGTGTATTCTGACCTTCTAGAATGATGTAGAGATGGAGGAGCAATGCAACAGAGGGGCAACTGTTCCTTTTATTTTGGTTTGTCATACAGTTTTAATTACAGTCAGAGGGCTAAATTCTTTAGGTTGGTGATGCTGTCCATGCTCAAAGCATTATTAGAAATAAACATACTTATTTTTTGTTTTCATTAAAAGTGTCCTCACCTATCATATGCATTTGATGCTTGTGTGTGTAGTATGCATAAATAAAATCAGCTTCTCAGAATTTAAATAGAAAAGTTCTTCTCTGCTCTAGTGTTTATTTATTTTGGATGACAAGTATTAGAAATGTATTTTAAAAACAACCTATGATTCATTCTGTTCTGATTAAAAATTCAGCTGGCACAAAACAAGATTAGTGATTGTGTACGGATGAGATTAATTTGGAGCTCATTACAATGACGCCAGTTTGAGTAACAAGAATTGTTTGTTATGTTAGCCTAGTTGATTGTTAATGTGAGCCAGTTAATAACTGAGGTGCTTATGCAAAATGTTAACCTCACTTTTCCAATTATTTTGAAGTATATTCTGTTTGGCAAAGAGGAGACAATAGCAGTATATGCAAGCTAACTGTCAGTTTAAGGATTTAGGTTTTTTAGCATCCTACTTCAGGTCTCCAGCTAGTCTCCCCAGAATTATTCTGCCCACCCACTGCTATCAAAAAGGCTCCATTAGCCTTAGTGGGGATGGAGGCAAGAGGACATTAGCATTTCCTGAAACCCAGTAAGTGTTGAATGTGTCCTTGTGGGCTAGTATATACGGGAACTCTTAGTGCTGCATTCGCATGGGAGGAAGGCATTGCCATCACAGAACTTCAGAGAATGGGCCACTGCGGTTCTCATGCCAGTACGTAGCGTTGGGAAGATTGTTTCCCCTTGTCTAATTGTTAATACTGAGTACAGATTTCAGTCATTGTGGAGCTGATTCAGCTAATTGTGCTACTCAAGTGTATTGGCTGTCATGCTCTATATCTTGTGTAGAGCAATGTTTATTGTAAGTTTTTGTATTTGTAATTATTAGACTCCATATTTATCATTTGGCTATATAATGACTGTCATGAAGGCTGTATTGTTTTCTGTGTCTGTGTTCAAAATCTTAATCATTATTATAATCATTATTACTGTCAACTTGCTGAGTTAGCTTTTAATGGGTAGTGGAGAGATCCTTTAAATATCTCCCTGTTCCATAATTGTTCTTCATTTACTATCAGGTGCATGAGACAGATGTTTAACAGCATCAATTGTTCCTATGCTCACAGTAGCTACAAAAAAGCCCAAACACGCCTTATATTAGCTAATGCCATTTGAACTATTTTGTTCTAAAAAGTCTGGCTCTTGTATTGTTGGC